GCAGAGGACGAAGGGCATGAAGAAGAGGACGAGGTTACTACCACCACTACGTGCACTTCTACTACGACGGCGACAACGACTATGACGACTACTTCCACTACTTCTTCGACTATCGATGCCGACGGCGACTACTTCGACTACTATCTCGACGATCTTCCATGACGACTGCGCCTCTACTACTACGTACTACTACGCTCCCACTCCCAACCTAACTTCCTTCAGTGACAGCATTAACAAAAGCAAGCCGCGCGCTCTCACGTACCCTTCCCCTTCCCGCCAATCTAACTAACTAACGACGACAACGACACGTGCTCCCTCCTTCCCCTTCCTTCCCCTTCCTTCCCCTTCCCCCCGTACTACGCCCTCCGACAATCTACGTCCACACGTGCTCTCTCCTTCCCCTTCCTTCCCCTTCCCCCCGTACTACGCCCTCCGACAATCTAAGTCCACACGTGCTCCCTCCTTCCCCTTCCTTCCCCTTTCCCCCGTACTACGCCCTCCGACAATCTAAGTCCACACGTGCTCCCTCCTTCCCCTTCCCCCCGTACTACGCCCTCCCACAACCTAAGTCCGCTGCCAGCGCAAAAAGAAAGGAGCCATACGGTGCCAAGTACCCCTGCCCCCCCGTTCTCACTAAGAAGCTAACTGAAAAAGAACAAACAAAAAAACGGACCATTGACGACTGCCACTACTAACGACTGCCACTACTACGACGACGACAATGACGACAACAACTACTACTTCTACTTCCCCTCTCCCCCTCCCCTACTAACTGAATCTCGTCAGAAGAAAGATGCGCGCGACTTCCTACTACTACTACTACGACTACGACGAAGACGACGATTCCCACTACTGCTACTACTACTACGACAACGACGACGGCTGCTACTACTACGCTACCCGGTTTGGTCGACGTAACTCTCTCTCACACACACACACACACACACACACACACACACACACACACACACACACACACACACACACACACACACACACATTCATCAGTCAAATGAATCCTGGGCAGACTGTCGGGGTTCGGCTTCCTGATGAGTCGGTGAGTGGGTGAAATTCCGACGAAACAGTCTGGCATAGTCATTCCTTTATTTTTGTGGAGTTGCGTATAACTAACATGACAACACGCACACACACACACACACACACACACACACACACACACACACACACACACACACACACACACACACACACACACACACACACACAGAGGAGGAGGAGGAGGAAGAGCGTGCGGAGGAAGAGAATGAGGAGGGCGAAGAGCGTGAGTAGGAAGAACGAGGATCGGGACAGTGGGGGAGGAGGAAAAAAGCACGCACTATCAAGGGGGCATGCGGCTGAATGTCGCAACCAACTAAGCCTTATGTGCGGCGTCCGCGCAAGGAACATGCTTAATCTTCTGTGTATCGATTGAATTTTTAATGGATGTCCCGAAGGGCAAGCATTTCCCAAAAGAGGAAAAAGAAAAGACTGACGGCTCTTAGTCCTCATATGTTACCTAGCCCACACCGCTGAATCGCCTGAGATCTATTCCTGACGCAAACGGATTAGCGCAATACTTCCGTATGATCTAAACCAAGTCAGGTCAATGTTGATGTCTTGAGAGAGAGAGAGAGAGAGAGAGAGAGAGAGAGAGAGAGAGAGAGAGAGAGAGAGAGAGAGAGTTTGTCGCACTGTCCACCAAGTGATTCTGACACATGCTGCTTGATTTCTTCTTTGGATTTTGCCTTCCAGGAAGTGCTCCAAGATGCTCGCCCACCATTCCGGCTCACATGACATCTCTACTTTGGACGCGTGCTCGTCAATGAATGTTCCTTAGCGAACAGCAACTGACGTAATTAGCAGATTGGATGCTGATTACTTCATTCACACAATGTCATTTGAAGACCTGCTTCACAACAATGACACCAACTCTCTCGATTACACCATCTTGGTCCACCGTTCTGAGACAACACGCAGGCACGCACCCACATACCCCCTCACACCTGTCTCTTATACACATCTAGATGTGTATAAGAGACAGGATTGGATGCTGATTACTTCATTCACACAATGTCATTTGAAGACCTGCTTCACAACAATGACACCAACTCTCTCGATTACACCATCTTGGTCCACCGTTCTGAGACAACACGCAGGCACGCACCCACATACCCCCTCACACAGACTCAAAAGTCAGCAAGCAAGCAAGCACACGGCATACATACAAGATCGGTTGATCACAAAGATATTCAGAGAACACAGCGAGCAGACAATCGGAATCGTAATCAAACAGGTCAATGAGACATCATCCAGAGTTCTCAGATTGCAAGTGTGCAAAAGGCGACGCTGAGAAGGTAATGGCTTCCCAAAGATATCAGGCAACAGCAAAACCACCAAGTAGTACCACACAGAAACCGAAAAAACAAACTCCATTGGTATTCCCTCCGGTTTTTTGCAAGCGGGGCTGCAACAGGTCATTTGGTAACGATCATCGTCCTTAATCATTTCATGGAGCGTACACTGTCGGCATCCGCGTATTGCTAGCAACCTCCCGTTCCCCGCCCTGTCCCCTCCGCGCCCCGCCCCCCGCGCCCCGCGACCTCCCTCCCCCCTCCCCGGGCACCCACGCCCCCCTGGTCCTTCACTCAAATCCCCTCCCCACCACTTTCCGTCTAACTTCGATTCTCTGTCGGTCGAGGTGTGTGTGTCCTCCGTGCATTCACTTGGCCATAAACACTGATCTTACCTCTGCATCACGCTTACTCACAGTCACTGGGGCTGCGTCGACTGTGGTTGTGTTGTGAGATTGCATGCAACGTTGAGCAAGCACAAAAGGTTGTTTCTCTTTCAACCTCTTCGCTTGATTCCTCATGCATGTTCTCTCGTGCTCCGTCAGCTATCTCGATCTCTTCCCAGAGCGCCTTCTTCTTCGTCCCCAACTGCTTTGGAACTGACACGCAATCAAGCTCAGCGAGACGAGTTCTCGCTTCTCGCAGCGCCTGAGAGGTGGTCGAAGAAATTGTGACGAGAGAGCAAGCAGAAACACAGACAGCCAACGAAGTGTCACAGTGTGAGCATGAGCATGATGCCCTCAATTACCAGCTGAAGGGGAAAGGCAGGCAGGCAGGCAGGGTCGAAACGATCACAGCCGCTCGTTTGTTCGTCCTCTTCAACCTCTCTGCCTACGGTTTACCGGGCAGCTCTGTTTGACGATATATATATATATATATTCACAATGTGACAATATATGTGAAACTCCGACGAAACAGTTTGTCACAGCCCCTCGTTTGTTGTCCTCTTCTCCCTCTCTGCCTACGGTTTACCGGGCAGTTCTATTTGACGATATATATCTAGTAGCATAATTGTCAATTGCACCAAACGCTGTCAAGGAACAAAGATCAAACTAACGAGGTAGTGTAGTGAGGACTATTTTGGGACCTTCACCCACCATTCGCCTCGTGTTTTTGAAGAGCAATCCCCAAATTATCTACTATCGCCATACGGCTCCTTTCATTTATTTGATGACCTACTACTACTTAAGGGGGCCAAGTTACCTGTGCTTGGCTGTTCTTAGGGGGTAATACTAATTACAACCCCCCTTCTTTTCACCCGTCTTCCCTTCGAACCTTCGAACCTTCGAAGGGGGGTTGTAATTAGTATTACCCCCTAAGACAACCTTCGAAGGGGGGTTGTAATTAGTATTACCCCTTAAGACCAGCCAAGCACACGTAACTTGGTGATAAGGTTCGAAGGTTCGAAGGTTGGAGAATTATCTCCAGATGAAGGGGAATTCTTACTACTTGG